AAGTCTTGTATAAAAGATTAAGTATTGCAAGGTAAGAAACTATAGATAAGGCTTGAGTACTGATAAAAAAAAACTACATGTATCTGAAAAAGTATAGAAAGTTTAGCAAAGCTTAGGGTTAGTATAACTAATTATAAAGTAGATAACCCATAGTTAGTTATAAAAGTATAAATAGCTTATCAATATATGCCAAAAAGGCAAAGTTGAATGTGTTAGAAAAAACAGCCCTCATTGAGAATAGTGATAAGAGTTATTGATATCTCAAAGAAACAGAATGCAATAAAGAGACACCTAATTTCAGCCAAGTTAATCACCATGCCTCTGCCTTCCCTAAGTGTTCTTTATAGGAGGAATTTCTTCTTTGTGAGTATTTGTGAGATGTCTGGGTTACGTGATGTGCTATGGATTAGCAACAGACTTGCCAGGTTAGTTCACAACAATATATAGAACTAACAAACATTATAACTAAAAATATCTTAAATAACAATTAATTCCTTTTTTTTTTTTTCTATTAATATCAATACTAGTAAAGCCTTGACATGTTAGTATATATAAAGGTGAACTATAGCAAGTCACAGGATTTTTAGTAATAGAATATTGAGTCACAGTATTTTTTTATTTCATAAATGTATAGACTTACAATTAAATTTGGGACTTTACCGATTAAAAAAAAAAAACTTTGCAAAGGGGTTTAAAATAAATCAAATTAACAAAAAAATAGATAATCTATTATTTCATTATTTTGTATAGATTTAATTAAATTAAGTAATAATATTTTTATAAATTTTAGATAGTATAGCTATAGTAATGATCTATAGGCAATGATTTTATTAATTAGAGGAATTATTCAAATTAGTAAAGGAGCAAAATATCATTCCCTAGGTTATATTTAAAGAAATAGTTTTTTCGACAATGAGTGAGTCAGTATGTGAAAGTCATAACAATTTGTAAATACCTAGTATATATACAATAAAGACATATCATACTGACCTAACTGTGAATTAAAAAAAAAATTCTAGGCAGTATAGAAAATATTTATCTTAGTTGTTATTAAATATTATTAATTAACAAACTAACTTTTAAACAGGTAGAATAATCCAACATAAAAAAAAAATTTTTTTTTTGAATTTTTATTTAATATTTCAAAAAGATAGTATAATGATATGATTGCAGATCAAAAAAAATTATAATTTAATAAATACAATTTTTTAAAAAACCATTTATAGTATTTATTTAGAACTATTTTATAAAGCAATTGTAAATGAATTTTTCATTTCTATTTTTATGTAATACAGATTCAAAAATTAGAAAAATCACTATATGCCTTTAAAAAATTATTCTAATATATTCATTTGGTTTCAAAAATTTATTCCAATTATTATACATCCATAAATATATTACTTTTAATTATTACTATATACTCTGTTGAAAATTCTACCATAAATTTAAAATTTATTGAAAAACAACATTAATTAATATTTTGGCCAAATTATATAAAATGGCAACTAAAATTGAGTTACTGTGAATTAATTTTTAGAATATAAATTAATGGTATAATTTATAAAATTTATAGTTTCATAAAACTGTTAAATAATACAATATTTAATAATTAATGTTACAGATAATATATTTTTAGAAACTCATTTAAATTGACTCGAGTATGATAAAAATAAAATATTTCACAGAACATAAACTGACCACAGAGATAAAATAAAAAGTCGTGGAAGGTTGTTATTGTGGCACATCTTATCTTCTTTATATTATCAAATATAGGTTTTGATCATGATTGTAATGAAATCTCTTCCTACCGGAATTCTCAAATGTCAAGAGTCCAGTTTTACGCGTATGTTCCATAAAAATAGCAAGTGATTATCAAAAGTTCTAACCAGTCAAAATTCGATGATGTTCGATATTCTTATTTTGGAACATAGTTCTTTTCTTTTAAGGGAAACCAAATGGCATCTACAATAAATAAAAGTTTGCGCCTGATTATTAATATATATATTTCAAGGAAAAGAAATGGCTAGTCGTACAGAATATCCGATTGCAATATTAATCTATAAATTAACAGTGATTCGACGAAACAAAACATAACTTCCACACATGCAAATTTAAAGAGGAAAAACAAAAATATTTCGAATAAATTTAATTCTCATTTCATATGGGATGAAATATTGCCTAATCTCTGTTAATTGACTATAAATTCAATCGTAAATTCGTTCAACTCAAAATGAAGTCAAATATAATTTCGGCTTTAACTAATAAAAAAACGCAAACCTTGTTTCTCTTGGTTCTAACGCATTTTTCTCAAATTAAAGCTGGTCCGGATTTTAGTGCTTGCGTTGGAAATGACTACAGCGCTCTAGTTTCTTTTTCTGCGAACATACCTGACGATGAATTATTTTGTTGTGGAGGTAGTCAATGCACCTCTCTGTCTTCAGGAAGTTGTCCTCTAGGTATCAACGTGGCTGATTTTCAAGGAGAATGTGCTAAAACTGGTCAATCGACATTTTGCGTAGTTAAGGGTTATTATAATTCACTCCCCAGTCAGCTCCCAGGTAACATGTGTGGAGGGATAACAGGAAATTCATTAGCGACTAATGTCACAGTAGGAACTTGCCCTAGTCTTAGTGCTATAGCAAATACTTTAAGTCGCGAGAGTACTGTTCCTAACAAATTTAGCTGGTTATGCTGTAGCGACAATAGTTGCACTGTGCCATCTAATGAAGTAACAATAACTTATACGAACGGCCAATATGAAGCTGGCACCAATTGTGCAACCGGACAGTATAGTCTAATATGCTTTGCAGATAATGGTGGTTGGACTTGCACGGGTAGCATAGGTTCTAATATTCCCAATCTCTTGCAACCCTTGGGCAGTTGCGTAGAACAAGTAGCAATAAACAATCCCACTTCTAATACTTCCACAACTCCCACAAATCCCACATCTGTTTCCACATCAACATCTACTTCTATTATCGGTCATAGTTCTATTGATTCCGTATCTACTTCCTCATATTTGGCGGGTCAAAGTTCTGCAACTCAACAACAGTCGCCGACTGAAACTCATACTGGAAGTGGTAACAGTAAACTTTCACCTGGAGTAGTTACTGGCATTTTCCTTGTAGTTAATGTAGTAAGAATATTTGTAGATATCATTTATTAGTTAATGATTTTTAGAAAAATAGAATTATTTAAGGAAAAGGTCTAGCAATTCTATTCTAACTTTGATCCAAATAATGCATCATTAATATTATTATTGTAGCTTGCGTTATAATTAACAAATACTGTATATTACTTCTATAGTTTATAAGATTTTAAAAATCATATATTTACTGGGTTATATCATAAATTATCAGCTGTACCGAAAATAAATAGCGATTTTATTAATAAATTCATTACTATATGAAATAAGCAAGCATTTGAGTATTTGTTTACAAATTAGACTATTTATTAAATAGTACGTAATCCGAATTTTTTCCTAAATACGTAAATTATTACATAACTTTTGGATTTTTCGTTTGATGAAGTTAAGTATTACTAGCAATAACAGCATTATAAATTAACTCATTGATTAAAAAGCCATCCTTAAGTAGTCAATAAAATTATTTTAAAATAAAAAATTTTTATTTAGTTAAATCAATATTAAATTTATTGTTAAATATTAAACGAACGTACAGTATATATTTATTTAGTTATAATTCAAAAAAAAAATTTTTGTTTTTTTATTTTTAAATTATTGTTAACCCGCATTAATTTAATTACACTTAACTTTTTTAAAAACAAAATCAATTTATTTTTATTTTAAATATTTAAATCAAAATATATTTGCAATTTTACTTACATGTTTATTGAAATTGTTGTTATATTTTCATAATTATATATATATTGGTTATATTTTGTATAAAATACACGCTTTTTTTAAATTTTAAGAGACAATTTGTATTAAAGAATCGAATAGAAATTCAAAAATATTAAGCAAAAAAATAAAAATTCAAATTTATAAAAAATATATTATCCAATAATAATATCAAGATCCTATCTATTTGTAATTTATGATTTAGAGGATTCAATCTTCATAATATTTACTGTATATGAATACGTACACATACGTACGTGCTACATGCTTATCACTCTACGTAGATAATGGAAATCCTTGCAACGTTTCTTTATCAAAATTCAACAGTTGATCAGTGCCTGTAATACGTACAGTATAATCAATGCGTTTTGTTTAGAGATAAACACAAGCGTACAGCAAAGGATCATTAAATCTGTCATTGTAAAAAGGCGTAACTGTGAAACGGAGGACATTGGTCAATCCAAATATACAAATTTATCGCGATTAACAATATATATTTAAAATGGAACCGAAATACGTAATTAAGAGAGAAAACAAATATCAATTGATATATTTATATCTTCAATAATAGAGATAAATTTATGAATCTTATCATTGTTTTCTGACAATGTTTTTGTGTGCCAACAGGATTTGGAAATCTTTGTGGATCCGACTTAAAAAGTTAAATCCTGATTTTATGAAAAAAAAAAAATTATAGTTTGTTATGAACTTAATGTATTTAACTTAAAAAATGAAATTAATTTTCCCAGTTAAGAAGGTTCAAATTATATTACTGTTAACCTTTGTTCGTTCTTCTCAAATTCAGGCTGGTTCGGATTTTAGTTCTTGCGTCGGAGGCGACTATAACGCATTAGTCTCATTTGCTAGTAACGTACCTGACGATGAAGTATTTTGCTGTGGCGGTGGTCAATGTACCTCTTTGTCGTCAGGAAACTGCCCGTTGCCTGTTAATGTGGCCAATTTTCAAGGGCAATGTGCTAAAATAGGGCAATCAACATTTTGTGCAGTTAAAGGTTATTCTAGTTCATTTTCCAGCCTTCTCCCGGGTCAAATATGTGGAGGAATAGCAGGAGACGCTGCGGCAACTAATAACACAGTGGGTACTTGCCCCAGTTATGATGCCATTGGCAATACTTTAAGTCGCAAGAGTACTATTCCTAATAAATTTAGTTGGTTATGCTGTGATAATAATAGTTGCGACCTTCCATCTAGTGACGAAATAACAATAACGAACACGAATAACCATTACGTGGCCAACACTAATTGTGCTGTTGGACAGTACAGTTTCCTGTGTTTTGCTGATGACGGTAGTTGGTGCTGCACGGGTAGCGTGAGTTCCAATATTGCCGATCTTTCCCAACCCTTAGGCAGTTGCATAGAACAAGTAGTAATAAGCTATTCTACTTCTGTTGCCCCTTCTCCTACGGTTCAAACTTTAGCATCAATACAATCAGAAACTGGAATTACCACAGGTAAATGAATACAAGTTGGTGTTTTATATCATCGATCAACATATGTGTTCGTTAATCCACTTTTATTTACTGCGATCTTATTGCAATAATCAAATTATCTCACAATAGGGAAACGCGGTATTATAGAAATTGTAATTATTACGCTTTGCATTTTTTTGGGTTTGGCAATAGTTGGAGGTATTTTTTGTTTGATACGTCGATATAAGTCGTAACTGTATGCATTTAATTTGTTATAAAATAGTTTTACGTATGTATATATAAAATTTTTTTTTTTATACTATTTATAATAACAATTTATTATTATCAACTTTAATATAAACACTAAATATTATGAGAGTTGATTAGAAAATAATTTTTATAAACAAATGTTACATACAGTTTTTTTTTTTTTTTTAAAAAAAAAAAAATGCTGACTCAGCCTTGTTTTGTTTGAAATTATGCAGTATCATTACATAGAAGGCTATCCTACCTGCCAAGGTTGGTCTAGTGCTGAAAAAAAATTTCAAATATGTAAAAGTTGTCTATCAAGTTTTTAATCCATTGGTTTATGAAACTATTGACTAGTTGAGTGAGCTGTTCTTTTATGTATGTATTTTTCCCTTGAGGTAAGAGCTATATCTTCTTTTTTGGTTTCATATTTGGCCAGTTTCTTCTTTCTTATTGTGATTCCAATTTTGATTTTTTATTCTTGAAAGGTTTCACATCTTTTTTGCCAGATCTTATGAAGGTATTTAATAATTTGTATATATATTGCTATTAGGCATTTTTTTCTTGTTGTCCTGTTTGGAATGGTTGATTTGATTTTTTGTATTAATTCTTTGAAAAGAGTATTTTTAATACTTGCTATCAAGTATTCCTTGAATTTTAGATTGGATTTGTTCAAAAAGTATGATATAAAAATTTTAAACTCTTCTTTTTCTATATAGTTTTGTATGCATGTTGTAATTGTAACAATTATAAACCTTTCATTTCTGTTTTGCTTTATTGACAAAAGAAGAGATATGTACTTGTTTCTGGCTTATTATATTTATTGTATTATTATCTATATAGATAAATAGTAGCCTCATGTGTATCCATAGGTCTGATAATAAGATATAAGTTCAAATCTTCCAGATGGCAATGTCTAAAGTTGGTAAAATTTGCATACATTGGCATAATTATATCTAACTTTTCTGAATTTAGCTACTTATAATAAGGTATTCTGAAGAAAAAATATCTATCAATGAGTAGTATGATCTATACAAGTATTGTGATCAGAAGTGATATCTGAAATGGGCTAAGATTATTCTAATGTCATACAGTTATGCAAATATTGAACAAAGTAACAAACACAAGAATAAATTTCCAAACTAGTAGAATACCATTGATAATCAAACATTAATTTTTGTGCCACTTATTGACTTAACTACTGGGAGGACTTAGTAAAAGAAAAATCTGTGGATCACTTCAAAGGATTGAAATACTAGGTCCAGAATACTGTATTTAATGGCCTGATAATCTATCTACTCTAGTATACAATAAAAACATGTAGCGAATAATTAAAATGGAATCATATAGTTTTCTATTAAAGTAGTACTTATACATACAGTATATAGTATAATTAATATAGTTAACCATATATATAATAGTTTACTGTAATAGTTGATGTATATAGTACTTACTTGAGAATGTACACAATAGATACAGTATATTACTCTTTCTTTTTTTTTTTGTCTATATAAGCATATACAACAGTAGTTCTTATGCACTACATAACTCAAATAAAAACTGTAGGGCTTAGTGAGACATATAATAATAACAACTTACTGGTAATGATGTAGTAAACTAGATGATTTTTATTCAAAGATACTGCAAAGTAAAATATTGTCCCCAAAGCTGAACTTAGAGACTATTATGCTTATGACAAGTTATTTAAATTAGAATAATAGTTTAGCTATAGTATATATTATACTGCTTAAATAAAAATGTACTTATGTTTTCAATTGATTAATAAACTAACAATCTAGTTTACTATGATATTGTATATTCTAGTAGAATGTTAAGTATAGTTAAAATAACTATTATTTTAGTCCTAGTAGAGAATAGATATCTTTTAATTTGTTCATGGAAGATGTGTTCATTATAATCTAATATAATTATAATCTAGTTTAGGCCTATATAGAATTTATTATTAATATTTGTCAGGAAGTTATCAGTAAAAATATCAAAAATAGTATAATTTTCTATTTTTTTATTAATTGTTTCTAGTGCTTCTATAATCTTGATTGAACTATGAAGAATTTTTTCATATATACTGGTTCTTGCTTATATTTTTATCAATATCTTTACTTTTCTACTGTCTTTTATAACTGAGAAGAGTTTTGTTTAAGTGGGTTTTATAAAAGTTATGACAAGTGAGTTTGGAAAACTTTGTTTTTTTATATAGTTTCTTTCATATTTATGTTGTTTTACCTTAAAGATATTTTGCTTTTCTATACTGATATTATAATTGAATATTTCTTGAATGTATGAAGTTGCATTTCTTTTAACTAATGTTTAAGATATTAATTTTATATTTTTTGCAGACTTCCAAGAAAAAACTTTTTGAATTTTGAATGAAGCACCCTACAGTATATCTGATTATGTTCTAATATATTTTTTACTGTTTTTTTCAATTATGTAATTAATTGTTTTTTGTATATATATTTAGTGAGACTTGATTCTATTCTGTTTTGTTATCGGATCTTCTTGTTTAAAGGTGTTTATTGGTATTTGAGAATATAAATTTCTTTCTGTTCTATTATTGTTTTTACTTTGTTACTAACTGTGAGAAACCATTTGAATATTGAACCTAGAACTGCTTTCCTATCTAATCTGATAATCTAGTATCATATTAGTATTTTATATCAATTTGCATTTAGTAGCTATCCAATGAAAAGAATATTATGTCTTTGCGGATTTTGTTAGTTTTTGGCATAGAAGTGTTTGCTTATTATATTCTAAATAGGAGTATCTATTTCTTGAATAAGTGTAAAACCTTCAGTTTTTTTTTTATTTCAAAGATAAAGTCATATCTTCTCATTAGCCATATGATATTATGTATTGAACTTTTTTTGAGAGTTTTCTATAGATATGTCATTTTGTTTATAATTGACTTTGTTGATTAGAATTATTTTTTTTATTGATTCTATTTGTTCAATTGATAATATATAAAAAAAATTATCTGTTCCAAAAATATATTAAGTTATACTCATATTTATTAAAGAATATAGTGTTGAGTATTGTTTTTTCCAAGCCTAGCTTATACTTAAAAGTTACAGTAATACTGCTCATGAATAGATTACAAGTATTTTCTACTAGAATAATGTCATTGTATAGATATTCTATATTGGAGATTAAGATATGATTTATCAATTATTTTATCTGCTTATTTATTAAGTGCTTTATATCTATCAATGTCTTAGTTCTTTTAAATTTTTGCTGAATTAAGGTTTTTGATAGTTTTTCTTTCTTGAGCTATCATACTAGACCCCTAGAATTTTATTAGAGTTCCTTGAAGGTAGTCCTGAATAGTCTTATCCTCTATATATATACCTTGTTTGAAATCTTGATCTTTTCCATTGATAATTATTAGCTAGAATTTCTAGTGATTGATTTTGATATTGTTTATTTGATAGAATTTCTCTGCTCTTTTAATGATTTATTATAATTCTTCTTATTATTTATAATCCATATTATGTCATCTATGTATGCACTAACTGCCAAGTTTGTTCTCTTATTTATCCACCCTGTCCTGAGATTACTATAGAAGCTAGTTGATATTGTGTATCCTATGAAATTTTTTTTGATTCCATTATTAACCTCATATTCTTCTATGGGACTATAGTATATTAGAACTATATTCTATTTCTAATTAAGAATGTTCAGTAAAATGTTGATGATTTGTGATAGGATCTTGATTTGTTACAAAGCCTTGATTAATATTTTTATATTCATTGAGCCTTATGCCTTAGATATATCTTGTCTTAAGATCCAAACTTGTTTCTTTATTTCTTTGTTATAATTATAATATTATTTATGATATAAATATATTCCTATATATTGTAGCCTGAAATTGTTGCCTAGTTCAATTTTGATAGAATATTGTTTTCAATGAGATAAAAATAGTTCCCTAAAGGAGGAGACAAGAACAAAGTCAAATGTTTCTTACTAGAAAAAATTAAAATTTTTAAATTGATAACTATTAAAAAACTATTCTCAATTGTTCTTAATTATTCAAATCATTAATTTATAATATTTTCTGACTTTTGTCCCTATTAAAATAATATAAATAATCTATGAAATTTATATATTAAATATTTTAGGGACCCATCATTATAGTAAGGTAGGATGCCAGTCTATTTGCAAGGATTTTGATAAATATTTTTCTACCAGTATCCAGAAATATAATTCATCTTGTAATATTAAAATTGTTTTGCTATTCCTTTGATTTGGATATTGAATAGATGGCCCCTTTACTCCACTCTCTAGGTATAAAATTGTCTTCAATAATTTGTTTAAAGAGATTTATGATTTTTTCTATGGTCTGTTTCTACTATATGTGGGATTTGGTTCATTTCTATTTTTAATTGCCTTTCTTAACTTCTTATTGATTATTTCTAATATCATACTATTATACTATCTAAAATCAATACTATCTTTTGATCTATTTTCTCTTTTTATATCAAATAATTAATTAGAAATTTAATATTTCAGTTGAGTTCAGGCTTTGAAATGCTGTCTAATTATATACTCAATTTCTTTTGGCTCTGTAGTAATAGTTATTTTTCCTTTTTTTCTATGATTATTTTGTTAAGAATTATAAATTTCTTTGATTTGTTTAAGATATTTTTTATTATTGCTTTTTTGTTTATTTCAAAAAGATATGTCTAATAGCTATTCTTTATTTGTTGCCTTGATTTTTTTCTTTGTGTTATTATTTGAAATATAAATTTATATTTTCTTATCACTTTTTGTATATACAGTATATGAGTCAGTATAATGCAAGTTATACTGTAACTTTATTTAATCTGTCTTAGTTTTTTTTTTTTTTAAAAACACTGGCGCAGCCCTGTTTTATTTGTTTTAATATATAGTTACATTAGGGGATTATAATTGTGAATCTATTTTGTAATATCTATCTACTTACAAATAAAACTCAATAGAAAGATGTGCCCTAGGGGAGTCTCTCACCTTATGGCTTGTTGCCACCCTATCTGGAGGGCTAACCTGCCAAGGCTGGACTAGTGCTAAAAGAAATTTTAAAAATGTGAAATGGATCAATGATATTATTATTCAAGAGTTTATATAGTTATTCATCAATTTTATGAATTGGCTTTTAATATAAAACTCTCTTTCTATAAAGTAATCATCTAATATAGTTGTACTGTATTTGACTACTCTCTCTTTTTTCCTAATGATATCTGTTTTGTGTTTCTATTATTGGAACTATTCACATCTATTGATTCATATTTCGTGAAGATTTCTATTATCTAGATACTTTTTTTTTTTTTTACCTACAGTCAGGTCAGCATGGCTTGTCTTTATTGTATATATATCAGATTTTTACAAATTATTTTGACTTTCACATACTAACTCACCTATCGTTGAATAACTATTTCTCTAGATGCAACTTAGAGAATAATATTTTGCTCCTTTAATGACTTGGATAAATCCTCTAGTCAATAAAATCATTGCCTACAGGTCATTACTGTAGATCATTCTAAATTCCAACTGCAATTAAAAACCAAACCATTTCCTTCTATAACAAATTCAATCCTTGATGATTTCTATATACTTTATTTCCTTCTTTCTTTCAGAAACTTCTTGTTCCAGATCTTCTGCAAGTGTGGTTTCTTCTTCCTGTTCTTGTATGACCTGCATGATGGATTGGTGCCCATGTCTTTTGATTCGATTGTCCTTTTTAGTAATATTCTGCTTTTTTTCCCATCTATAACTTTTTTGCAGTGGTTATTCCATATGTGCTTCTTGAAATTTTTTCTTATTTTATAATAAAGCTTACTGATTATGCTTTGTGTAACTGTCAGGGGAATTTTGAGTTGTACTTTGAGATAATTCTTCAAGGAGATGGTTTTGTTCTCTTCTATATATCCACAAATAGTGTTGAAAAGGCTTCTATCAGATTGCAGAATCTTGTTTAACCATTTACTTATCTAATTATTGGTTACAGAATGTACTTCTTCTTTGTTTTTGATTTCTTTACTGATATATCAATTGATATTTTCCTTTATTTTTCTCCATATATCCTCTCTGATTTCTTTAGTGGCTGAATATTTGGATATGTGTCCTAAAGTTTCTTCTTAAAGTTCATATACTGAACATGTTATTATGGTATAAATTTCTAATTTCCTTTTCTTCAATATTTGTAATATTGAAAATTCATTATGGATCAGATTAGTTAGAAAGCTTTTGTCTTTATTATCTTTGAAAGAGGTATTGAAGGTGTTGGATGGATTGAACTGATTCCAGAAGATCAATCAGTTTATAATTTTGTCATTTTGGATCCACAGTTCTTGAATCCTTTTCTTTGTTATTCAATCTTTTTCTATCTTTTTCTTATTAAACATCTTGACAAATTCTCTAATACTGATGTCTATCATTTGTTCTCTCCATGTGGCTGCTATCAGAACTTCCCTAACTCTGGTAGTTGGTATCAGACTATTGAATTTTTATATCTAGCTTGTTTTACAAGCAGATCTACTTGATTATTGAACTTGTTGATTTCATAGGCTTTGACCTTTATAATTTCCAAGGTAAAATCTTTCTTTTAACTAAATTTTTGATTCTACTCCATAATGGCCAATTAGCAGTTTTTGTCCATCTTCTTGTTGATATCTCCACCTGTGTACTGATGGACTTCTATATCTTAACTGCAGTATTATAATCAGATAATATTGAGACTAATGTATTTCAAGAAGCTGTATATATTGCAGTTAGAATAGTCAATATTTCTGCCCTGAATGCCAATGGCCATGTTGATGTTCCTGCTAAGAATTGCTTCACAACTTTATTTTCTTCTACTAGAACCCAAGTCAAACTTATTTCAAGTTCACTATCTTTTGTCCCTTTTTTATATAATTCATTGATATAAAAAGTAAACTGAGTAGCTATACTCCTTCTATTATAATTCAGGACATCTATAAGTTTATTTATATGTTTATTTGATCGGATAGCTTATTTTATTAACATGGCTTCCCAGTTTTCTACCTAGATTTCCACTTTTGGTCTAGACATTAGTAGAGTTCTTGCATGTTGCCTTATAGTTATAAGCCAATCTGTAGGGTTGCCAAGTAGAAGGACTTGTTTTCCTTTTCTCAAATTTTCATATTTGTTTAGCTGTGGAAGAAGATAG